TAAATAATTAGATCTCTAAAAATATTTCATGGGAGGCAAATTGGGTTTTCTTTGGGTTGAACTTTTAATGTTACAGCATTTTACAGTATTTAATCTCTCTTTTCGGGGTGGTTGGGGGGTTCAGCCAGGGTCTGACACATATGGAAACCCATCACCATGATTAAGAGTATCCTAACCAAGCTGAGATTTCCATGCATCCCACCTATACATGGAAATCCCAGAGATAGATTGTTGGAATGGAGTGCACACTCTCTCCCTGAAGGGATGCATCCTGCTTACCTAATTCTGGAAAGGATCAGGTGTTGAGACTGTTTTAGTAGGTAAATATGTTGGTTATTGCGCACCAGAAGTTCCACAAACAGCCATGAAGTTAATGATCATTCTATCTGGAGGGTTGTTGGCGAAGACATCAGGAGAAACTCCCTTCTCATTTTGCACTCTTCTCTTCAACCGTGCCTGCACCTCCCCTCTCGACTCTCTACCCCCTCCTCGTTCCCTCCCTTCTCTCCCCTCACCCTGATCATTTCCTCCCTGCTCGGGTCCCGACCCAACTGTCCAGCGCCTTGGGACGTCCTCCCGACGTGAAAGGCACTCTATGAATGCAATCTTGTTGTTGTTGTTGCACAGCGTCGTGGAATCTTTTAGTGTTCACTTGAAGGACAACCAGGGAAGGACCTCGTTCATAACATCTCATCCATTATGCCATCACGTAGGAATGAGGAACCTTTCGACTCAGGCAATGGCTTTTAACATTCTTTGCACAAATCTATAACTGTAAGCTTGATAGATTTTTACATACAGTGCTGAAATATTGCCAAATAGAAGCATTGAAAATTCAACCGAGACTGAATCCATTATGGGAACCATAGCAATGTGGAATGTTACAAACATTCTGCATTTTATCTGGACCTTGTTGAATAACTGAGGTTTGACCTTTATAACCACTGAAATGCTCTGGATATAGCTCTTAGCATTGAAAAGTAGCATAACTGATGTGAATTGAACCTCAGAAAATCGCAAATATGTAATAATAATTTACATTTATATAGTTCCTATCATGTAAAAATAAATACCTTGAAGCACTTTACAAAGCGTAACTGATTTAGAAATGAAAGTTAACCTTATACTGTATTGGGAAAGGCACAAGCTAATCTGCTGCAGCAACATCCCATAATAATGATCCTTGCATTTGATATAGCGCCTTATCATGTCTTCGAAACGTCTTGAAGCGCTTCACAGGATATACTATAAAGTGAATTGACTGTATATTGTGTGGACGAAACGTGACAGCCAATTGCACACAGCAGTGTCCCACAAACAGTCATGGATTGAGTGATCAAATTATTATTATTTATTTATTTTAAAGGGATTATTACTCCCGGAAAAGCGATCTGCCAATCGACTAACAACTGGATTCCTACTTTCTGCTAGGTAAAGAGAGGTGTGCGGAGTAAGGAAACTTGCCTTAGGTTTTGCCCTGCTGGGAATCAAACCATTGAACCCAGGGCCTCTCACTTATGAGGCAAGTGGTCTAACCACTAAACTGCAGGACTCATTGTAAATAATAATGAGATTAATCGTTAGCCAATTAATTGAAGTTAATTTGTATTTGGAGGGGATTACCATATAAAATTGGAAGAAAATCACTCTGATGGTAATCAGTGACTTTAGGCCTAACCATTGTGCCAAAATTGGTGGGAAAGAATACACCAACAAATGAGTTCATTATTGATATGGACTTCATCAGATTCATTCAATCTCTTGAAAGAACCAAATTTATCCAAGTGAAAACTCTGAAGCTTTTGCCTGAAACTCAAACAGAATCTGGTGAAAGAGCTGTGTGTATGATTCAAACATTATTATCCTTGACTTTTCGCATTCCTATGTTCCGAGGGACACAGGAAACGAGTGCTCTGTAGACCATTTCATCATCTGTGTCTACAGTTATCCCTCCAAATTGCAGTCCCATTCTTTTCCAGACGTTCATCTAGCTCTGTTTCAAAAGAGTTAATTGGAAACAAGAACGATTCCAGGGCATAGGGCTCTGTTATGAAGATGAATTTAATTTCTTTGATGGAAAGAAATGTTTTTAGAAAAGGCAGTGATACAGGATTTTGAGAACCTGAGCAGAATGGCAAATGTAGATCTAAGAATATTGTTTAGCTTGACTTGCAAGTGTCTAATTGGGAATGATTATAAATGTAACAAGTATTCCATGTTGAACAGACCCCAAGCAAAAATAATTATATTTTCGATTTATCTTTAAAATAGAGCTGTGCAAATACATGAAGATTTAAATGTACCATGGTTTTAATCTTAAATCCATTGCCTATAATTTAAGGTAATGCAGAATTGTGGAAAATGTTTAGATTCAGTCTTGGAAGCTGTGCTTTTTTCTTTCATTTCAAATTGTTTTAAAATCTTAAGAAAACTAACTTCCAAATAAAGACTAATTGTTTTTAAAAATCCAAAATTCTGCAAATAAGGTGTACAGCATACAATAGAAATTATTGGTTTACGAAAAAGAAGTTGCCCAATAATGGCAGGTTATCACCAATCCATGCTTGTTGAGGTGAATGATGTGTTTCTGTGCGAAAATATCTGTAATTCCAGGTAAAGTGGGAGCAACAATTTAAGTTCAATATTGATTCACTTTTGTGGAACCAGCAGTTTGTCTTTTCCTGGTGCCCACACTCTCTCATTTGTGCTGTCAATGAATGAGTATTGCAAAGGAATGAGACGGACACAAAAATAGATGAGCTTACATGATAAGCTCATTTGCACTGACCACAGTCGGTGACCATTTCATTGAAAAGCCTTTCATTTTACAATACTTTATAGATTTACTACGTTTATGGACTTTATTAGAGAACTGCCTCAAGCTTTATATCTTTAATATGGTTTTCACTGTATCTGATGTGTGACAAAATCTCTCACAGAGCATTTCAAACCACCAAAGATCTCCCAGGGTGGCTTCAGATTCCCAGTTCCATCCAGATGGCTGTCAATCAGGCCCACCCTGTCGAAGTGAGCAGTGAAGCCCAGCCTATTGACGATGTCTGGCACAAGATGGTGTTGGGTCTGTTGTGCATTAGGCACAAGCACAAGGGTATCGGATGCCTTCACCAGAGTAACTGACTCTGAAACGTGGTCATGTTTGTGCAGGTGGGTGCTTCCCCACCAGACTCTGAATAATTCAGATGGTGAAGGGAGCAAAGTTCAAAGGCTGTGCAGCAAAAAAGGGTCACACTGGTGAAGCGGTAGGTTTGTTTGGATGTTGACCCACTCTCCAGAGTTAACCCCTTAGGAACCAAATAGCTTTCACCAAACAGTCAGTACATTTAATTTGAATAAATTGTGAGAAGGATGATTTGTTTGGAATGTTGGAATCCTCTTTTTTTTGATAAAGCCATTTCCTCTTCATTCATATGTGGGGGAGGGGAATAATGTGCTCAATTTTGTGGTTTGTGGGCTTTCAGTGTTGAGGTCTGTACAGATGATTCAAACAAGGTGGGCATGACAACATCTTTTTGCCTAATTAATAGCTGATTCAAACAAGATGTATATTACTCAGTGCACATCATCTGTCTTTGCAAGTGACATAAGATGCAAAGCATCAAGCAAACATTTTCTATTTTCCATCCTTCCATCAAGAACAGTGAGAAAGTAAACACTGTTCAATGTGTTCAAAAACATATTTAAAAAATATATACAAGTCAAACATGAATTAGTGCTGCACATTTGTTATATATATATATACAATAAATATCTGTATATAAAATTAAAAATAATAATTGTATTTACTATAGCGCCTTATCATATTGCCGAGATGTCTCAAAGCACTTCACAGGATTTTACTATAAACCGCAGTGACTGTGCATTTTGTAGGTGAACACAGAAGCCAATTTGAGCACAACAATGTCCCACAAACAGCCATGAAACGAACAACCAATTTTATTTGGGGGATTATTGGCCAGGAGACTGAGAGAAACTCCTTTCTCTTTTTGATCTTTGGGATCTTTAACATTTACGTGAACTGGCATTGGTTTAATGTCTCATTGAAAGACTGGGCTTTCCAACATTGCATCATGTTGATAACTGAAGTTATCTATTGAAGATCTTCACTTTTCTTTGATGATACAACAATTATGTCAGTATTTTCTGAACTTTTCTTGGCCACTTGTAGCTCAGTGAGTCCTGTAGCTCAGTGGTTAGAGCACTCGCTTTGCAAGCAAGAGACCTGGGTTCGATTCCCGGGAGGGTGAAACCTTGGGCAAGTTTCCTTACTCCACACACCTGATAATAATCCCTCAAAAAAAACAATAATAGATTGTTCATTTCAATCCACGACTGTTTGTGGGACACTGCTGTGCGCAATTGGCTGCCGCATTTCACCAACAGTATTCTAGTCATTACCACAATCAAAAAGGATAGTATGTTTAACAAAACGCGAGTGGGAAATTGTCCTTAAACCCACGACGGAACCCAAATCATAATCCTGGCATTTGAAATGCAACAACAACAACAAACAACAACAACAAACAACAACTTGCACTGATATTGCAGCCTTCACTCATCGCACGCCCCGCGCGCACCCGCGCACTCTGTGTGGCAGCGCAATACGACTTGGGGAGGAACAAAACACCATCCACGGCCGGTTGCGGGGACGCCGCTGTGCGCAATTGGCCGCCGCGTTTCGCCCACAATCATACAGTCAATTCACTTTACAGTCCACTCTGCGAAGCGCTTCGGGACGTCGAGAAGACGCGAGAAGCGCTCTATCAAATGCAAGGATTATTATTATTATTAGTATTATTATTATTATATTTATTATTATTATTATTATTATTATTGTTATTATTTGGAAGCCGCCTTCCCCTCTGGTGCCATTCGCTGGTGGTGGAGAGTCAGCTCCACACTGCTGGGGAAGGGGCTGCGGTGACGTCAGCGGGCGGCCGGTCACCTTTGACCCCCCGCCCTCACCAAGATGGCGGCGCCCACGGCAGCGCGGACCTGGAGGAGATTCTCAGCCTTCACGCGGTCGCCGAACCCCCACAACAGCGGCCGAGAGAAGCGGCCACAGCAGGTACCCGGCACCCCGGGGCGGGGGGGGTACCCCGGGGCGGGGGGGGGGCACCCCGGGGCGGGGGGGGGGGGTACCCCGGGGCGGGGGGGGGCACCCCGGGGCGGGGGGGGGGCATCCCGGGGCGGGGGGGGGGTATCCCGGGGCGGGGGGGGGGTACCCCGGGGCGGGGGGGGGGGGGGCACCGGGACATCTTCACACACCTGCGATGTGTGTCGTGGGTTTAAAGAACACACGGAACCTCCTTCATCCGCCCCCCAACCCCCCCCCACACCACACAGCCCCTCACCCCCCCACACAGCCCCCTCACCCCCCCCACACACACCACACAGCCCCCTCACCCCCCCCCACACACACCACACACACCAACAGCCTCCTCACCGCCCCAATACCACACTGCCCCTCACCCCCCACACACACCACACTGCCCCCTCACCCCCCCCACACCACACTCCCCTCACCCCCCAACCCCCCCCACACCACACAGCCTCCTCACCGCCCCAATACCACACTACCCCCTCACCCCCCACACACCACACACACCACACTGCCCCTCACCCCCCCCACACACACCACACACACCACACTGTCCCCTCACCCCCCCACACCACACTGCCCCTCACCCCCCTCACCCCCCCACACCACACAGCCCCCTCACCCCCCCCAACCACACAGCCCCCTCACCCCCCACACCACACAGCCCCTCACCCCCCCACACCACACAGCCCCCTCACCCCCCCACACCACACTGCCCCCTCACCTCCCTCACCCCCCCCACACCACACAGCCCCCTCACCCCCCCCACACCACACAGCCCCTCACCCCCCCCACACCACACAGCCCCCTCACCCCCCCACACCACACAGCCCCCTCACCCCCCCCACACCACACAGCCTCCTCACCCCCCCACACACACCACACACACCACACAGCCCCTCACCCCCCCCCCCCATACCACACAGCCTCCTCACCGCCCCCAATACCACACTGCCCCCTCACCCCCCCACACACACCACACTGCCCCCTCACCCCCCCCAACCCCCCCCACACCACACAGCCTCCTCACCGCCCCCAATACCACACTGCCCCCTCACCCCCCACACACACCACACTGCCCCCTCACCCCCCCCACACCACACTGCCCCCTCACCCCCCCAACCCCCCCCACACCACACAGCCTCCTCACCGCCCCCAATACCACACTGCCCCTCACCCCCCCACACACACCACACTGCCCCCTCACCCCCCCCACACCACACTGCCCCTCACCCCCCCAACCCCCCCACACCACACAGCCTCCTCACCGCCCCCAATACCACACTACCCCTCACCCCCCACACACCACACACACCACACTGCCCCCTCACCCCCCCACACACCACACACACCACACTGCCCCCTCACCCCCCCACACACACCACACACACCACACTGCCCCTCACCGCCCCCAATACCACACTGCCCCCTCACCCCCCACACACCACACACACCACACTGCCCCCTCACCCCCCCCACACACACCACACACACCACACTGCCCCCTCACCGCCCCCAATACCACACTGCCCCTCACCCCCCCACACACCACACACACCACACTGCCCCTCACCCCCCCACACACCACACACACCACACTGCCCCCTCACCCCCCACACACCACACACACCACACAGCCCCCTCACCCCCCCACACACACCACACACACCACACAGCCCCCTCACCCCCCCACACACACCACACACACCACACTGCCCCCTCACCCCCCACACACCACACACACCACACTGCCCCCTCACCCCCCCCACACACACCACACACACCACACTGCCCCCTCACCGCCCCCAATACCACACTGCCCCTCACCCCCCCACACACCACACACACCACACTGCCCCTCACGCCCCCCACACACCACACACACCACACTGCCCCTCACCGCCCCCAATACCACACTGCCCCCTCACCCCCCACACACCACACACACCACACTGCCTCCTCACCCCCCCACACACACCACACACACCACACTGCCCCCTCACCCCCCCCACACACACCACACACACCACTGCCCCCACACCCCCCCACACACCACACACACCACACTGCCCCCTCACCCCCCCACACACACCACACACACAACACACACCGCACACACCCCCCCCACACACACCACACACACCACACAGCCCCCTCACACCCCCCCCCCACACACCACACACACCACACAGCCCCCCCCACACACACCACACTGTCCCCTCATCCACACACACACCACTGTCCCCTCACCCCCCCCCCCACACACACACACCACACTGTCCCCTCATCCCCACACACACACCACACTGTCCCCTTATCCCCCCCCACACACACCACACTGTCCCCTCATCCCCACACACACACACCACACTGCCCCCTCACCGCCCCAATACCACACTGCCCCCTCACCCCCCCACACACACCACACACACCACACTGCCCCTCACCGCCCCCAATACCACACTGCCCCTCACCCCCCCACACACCACACACACCACACTGCCCCTCACCCCCCCACACCACACTGCCCCTCACCCCCCCACACACCACACTGCCCCTCACCCCCCCAACCCCCCCACACCACACAGCCTCCTCACCGCCCCCAATACCACACTGCCCCTCACCCCCCCCACACACACCACACACACCACACTGCCCCCTCACCGCCCCCAATACCACACTGCCCCCTCACCCCCCCACACACCACACACACCACACTGCCCCCTCACCCCCCCACACCACACTGCCCCTCACCCCCCCACACACCACACACACCACACTGCCCCCTCACCCCCCCCACACACACCACACACACCACACTGCCCCCTCACCGCCCCCAATACCACACTGCCCCCTCACCCCCCCCACACACACCACACACACCACACAGCCCCCTCACACCCCCCCACACACACACCACACACACCACACAGCCCCCCACACACACCACACTGTCCCCTCATCCACACACACACCACTGTCCCCTCATCCCCTCCCCACACACACACCACACTGTCCCCTCATCCCCCCACACACACACCACACTGTCCCCTTATCCCCCCCCACACACACCACACTGTCCCCTCATCCCCCCACACACACACCACACTGTCCCCTCATCCCCCCCCCACACACACACCACACTGCCCCCTCACCCCCCCCCCACACACACCACACTGTCCCCTCATCTCCCTCCCCCCCACAACACTGTCCCCTTATCTCCCTCCCTCCCCCACAACACTGTCCCCTATCTCTCCCTCTCCCCACAGCACTGTCCCCTCATCTCTCTTTCCCTCCTCCACAACCTTGTCCCCTTATCTCTCTCTCCCTCCCCACCTCTCCCACAACACTGTCCCTTCATCTCTCTCTCCTCCTCCATCTCTCTCTCTTCCTCCAAAAAACATATCCCTCATCCATGTCCCCTCATCTCTTTCTCTCTCCCACAAACTCTCCCCTCATCTCTTTCTCTCTCCCCAAAAGTCTCCTTCTAAAAATTATCTCCCCCCAAAAAACTATCTCCGCCAAAAGAACTCGCTCCCCAAAACTCATCTCTTTCCCTCTGAATAAAATCCCTTCCCTGATCCCTCTCTCTGTCTCTCTCTCATTCGTTGTCTCTATCCTCACACAACTGTTCCCACATTTCTCTCTCTTTCTCCTTTGAACTACATTTGTTTACCTTTTAGCAGTGATAGGTTTACTCATGCATGTCTCTTATCATTTACTAAATACTCATTGTTTGAGTAATAATTGAAGGCTACGCACCAACATTTTTAATAAAAGTGGATATTGTTCAAAATTTTCAAAAGACGGAAAATAGTAGAATATTCTATACAATTTAATTTGTCTGTTGTAAGTTCAATGTCCCAGTGCACATACTGTAACAGTGACAAAAGCACAATTACCTTGAATGTCCTATAGGAATACTTTATAAAGACATGACTTCATCGATTTTACTTGATTGTATGCACTGAAAATCCTTTTATTTGTGTTTTTGTGTGTTGCAAGATGCTCTCCTGCATGAAGCAGGATAAACGCAATGATTTTTGACCAGGTGTCCAACACAAACGCAAGGAAAGCCATCACTAAAAATAACAACAAAAACAACAAATTACATTTGTATAGTGCCTTTCACGTCAGAAGGATGTCCCAAGGTGCTGGAACATCCAATCAAACTACTAAAAAACAGTAACTTACATTTATACAGTGTTCATCATGTGAGACAATGACTTGGAGCATTACAGTGACTGGGTCAGACATCAAATAGGAGCAGAGGAGGCGACCATAGGTGCAGGCAGCAGTTGAGGAGGTAGGATTTAAGGCATGACTTTACAGATACGCAGATATGGGGTGGGTGGAGAATCTGGAAGCATGGCCACTGATGGTGGCCCAGATATGGCAAGGGCCATGCAGCAAGCCCTAGCCTAGCGGACGGGGCAAAATGAGTAGACTAGAAAGAAGATCAGAGAGTTTGGAAGGTGCAAGTGTGTGAAGGGATTTGTAAGTGAGGTTGAGGATTTTGAAATCAATCCTCTGGGAGAACTGGAGCCTGCCAGGGTCTGAGGTGCTGGCAGGTGGAGTTTGTTGTGAGTGAGGAGTGATTGGTCTGTTACAACTTAAATAGCTTAACAGTAATTCAGCTCTCAACATAAAAATAAACTCTGCAGTTCACCGAGAAGGAAAACTCCTCAATCACTAACAAACTTCAACTATTTTTTAATGGTGTGGTTTCATAACCAGTCATGAATCAATAGCAGTTTCCTTCCTGTGGTATAATCAGGGTCTTATTCTGCAGTATACCTGTAATCCCAGAGTTCAGAGGATTTACACAAACCACTCGAGCTTCAGACCTGAGAATTTTTTGCATTATCTGAATACAACACTTGCCCTAAAACAGCCTTTTTCGCTCCCGATCATTCCTGCTCTTGTACATTTAATGTCTTTGCGAATATATTTGGAATATAGCCAAC